GGAAATAATAAGGTAAGTATGGCAAAATGTTAACTGATGAATCTTAGTAAAAGGCTGATGGGCGTTCTTTGAGCTATTCTTGCAAATTTTCTGTAAATGTAATATATTTCAAAATAAAAATTTAAAAAATGAGACTTTTCAAGATTAATCCATCAGATTAGAAGATTATGCTGCAATAATAAGAAAAAAAAAGAAAATGTTAATCCAGTAAGCGTTGCTGCAATAAGTCCCAATGAAGATAACACCATTGATGCACTAATTCTAAAAATGTTCAACCATTTTCACCTGTGCCAAGGAAATTAATTTTGTATTAGCAGGAACCATGGATATTGAATAAACAAATTAGCTGATGTGAACATGTCTGCACTTGTAGTTATCATTATGCACAGGGTTTTCCTAATTAAAGTCATCCAAAAAATTAAGTTACAGCCACAGGACTGAATAACTAAAAAAACTGATCTTTACAGCTGACTTGTAGCATGGGTTTACACAAATCTTTGAGTTGTGCTTATTCTCACTGATAAAATTCATAGATAATTCATTAATATTAATGCTTGGGCATTATTCCACAGCAGGCATGAAATGTTTTTGAGTGAATACTGTGTATTCTATTACCGAACTATGCCAGCCTAGGTTTCCTCCAAAATAGAACCTGAGATAAGGGCTTGCATGCAGATAGTTTATTTTGGGAAGTGATTGCAAGGAACAGGAAAGAAGCACTGGGAAGAGTGAAACAGGGAAGGATGAAAGTCAACCCAAGGATACATTATTAAGCCCATCATCACTGTGGTGTCTAGTACTTGATCCCATCAGGGAACTTTTGTGAAGCCATAGAAGGCACCACAGAATTACCTTCCCAAGGGTTGGAAGAGGGAGTATTTATCCACAGTCTCCCACTCCTTTGGCCAAGGGTTGCCCCATAAGGTGTTAACTGTCACATTTTGATGTTTGCTCCTGTGTCAAAATGGTCCAGTGGATTCCTGTGGCAGCAGAGAAGCCCTGGGATAGAAGTGAGAGATATAGGGCTCAGTTCAGGTGGGTGCTATCAGGTTACACTGTACACAGTTGATTGCCATAGCAATGGCTGGAGTCAAAAGGTGGACCAAGGAAAATGTGAAGGGTAGCACAAAACAAGATGTATCCACGAATAACAGTATCATGAGTCAGTACATGCACACGAAGTGATTTGACACAAGTTCAAAAGTATGACATATTGCAAAAATTGTATCAAATTTTTTTTATAACATTTGTCCATCATATATTCTTATAGCAATAATTAATTATGCAACTTTTATTGCATGGCAAACACTGCACTAAGCACTGTTGTTGGTATTTCATTTAATTCTCAAAACAACCCTGGGGGATAGCCATGTATAAGTGGTTTCCAACCAGGGGTGATTGCCCTCCAGGGGACATTTGGCCACGTCTAGAGACATTTTTAGCTGTCACAATTAGAGGGGGTAATACTGGCATCTAGTGAGTACCGGTCAGAGATGTTGCTAAACCTCCTGTAACACATAGGTCAGTCCCCCACAACAGAGAATTATCCAGTCCAAAATGTGAATAGCACTGAGGTTGAGAAATCCCGGCCTGTCTTCATCTCCATTTTATAGTTAAAGAAACTGAGGCTAAATGAGATTAAGTAAATTTCCCTGGGTCAGAAAGCTAGTAAGCAATGGAGTTGGGATGCAAACTCTGGTCTGTCTGACACTAAAGCCCTTGCGTATTGCAACCAACCGTACTGCCTTTCCACTACAAGGAAAAGAAAAGTGCATTTAAAAAGTCATATGTGGAGGGCACAATGTGACTGATTATTTGTGTGTCAGTTATTATAGTAATCATGGCAGAGAGTTGAAAAATGCAGATAATTATTGGAAATCATTGATATTTTTGATTTTATAACATGTCAGTATTTGGAAAATTGAAAGGTTTTGACTGTTTGAAGTCACTTACATGTATTCTCAGCCTTTCTTGTCACTCTGTTATGCTATCACATGAATGCAAGTCACATGGAAAGGAATGTATAATAGTACCAGGAGATGGTAGATTTAGAAAACACGGGATAAACATTCTTCTTATATTCAGAAAAAAAAAAGCACAGATTTTCAAAACTAGATTCCTTGTCCAGATTTTGTCTTCCACTTGTCTCTCCTTTTTAACACAGCAGTTTATGATCACCCACAACTTTCAGACTCATTCATTTTCAAAGAAATGTATTATTAATCATCACAGTGGCTTTGCTGAACCAAGTTCAAGGCTGGCCATCTCTGCCCAAGACTATCATTGCCTCTTGCACTTGCCCCCAGTCAAGGTTAATGGTTTCCCAAGAGAAACTGATAAAAGGGTATTCTGATGCAGAATAAACAGAAGGCAGAGCACAGCATAATATACAGGATTTGGGCTTTTTTCCTCCACTAAGGGCTGTATCTAAAGTAAGGAAGATCGCCTGCTTGGAGGGAGGAGAGTAGGAGATGAATGGATTTAGTGTGGGCTTTACAGGTAGACAGACTTGGACTGGAATCCCAGCTCTGCCACAAAACCTGAGCCAGTCAGTTTTTCTAAGCTTCAATTTCTTTATTTATAAAATTGAGGTGATAATGTCTTCCACAAAGCCTGGCATACTGTAGGTATTCAATAAGAATTAGCTATTATATTTATTTAATTGTAGGGCCTCAAGTACAGAAAGTTGAATTAATCATATTCTTCCGTTCCTTGTATGTGATTTTCATGGATCTGTGCAAGTTCTATATTATATTGTATTGTTTTTTGCTTTCATTTTCTCTGTCCCCCTCACATTCTTGTTTTCTTCCCATATATAGGTGTTCAATCTATTGTGTCTGTTGTATATTCTTGAATATACAAGTATATGTTTACTTGAAAAATTAGTATATATCCATATGTGAGAGTCTCTAATGCTTGGAAAATTAACACGTGATATTTTTCCATAACATAAATCTCTTGTTGTTTTTACTTTTTCCTTCAACACAGTGTGTTTAAGATCTATTCGTGCTGCTGAATGTACCTCTAGTCATTATTCCTGAATGTTAGCCTAGTATTCCACTCTATGTGGAATTCTACATTTTACCTACCCGTTGCTCCTTCTGGTAGACACATAGGCTGCCTCCAACTACCTGCCACCCCAAATAACACTTTGATGAATAGCCTTTAGGTGTGTCCTTATAACCTCAGCACAAGCTTTTCAATAGCTCCAGAGTAGTATTTAATAAGGTTCTACAAACATTTGTGATTATAATAATCTTCAAAAACTAGGTGTAGAAGGAAGCTTCCTTAAAATGATAATGACTATAAACCTGATATTGAGAGCAAACAACAAACAAAATGGAGACATTTCAGAAATAGACCCTTTAAAATCAGAAAGAAAACAAGAATTCCAGCTATCATAGTCACCTTCAACATTGTTCTGAAAAATTTGACCAACATGGTAAGAAAAACAAATAAGAAGAATAAGAATAGAAGGAATGAGACAAAACTGTCATTGTTTGTAGATGATATGATTATTTACATACAAATTCAATGAAATAAAAAGACAACCTATAAGAACCAAGGAGTTCGGCAAGCTTGACAAACAATATCAATTTTACAAAAACTAGTATCATGTGTCTACATTAATAATTACCAATTACTAGTAATTACCAATTATGAAATATAATGAAAACAAGAGACAGTTCACAATAGTAACAAAAACTATAAAATTTTCAAAAATTAAACAACACATGAGACTTTTATAAAAAAAATCAATACTCTCTTAAAAGATACAAAGAGAAACTTGGATAAATGGAAAAAATCTAACATTGTGAAGAGGAAAGTTCTTCCTAAATTGACTTATATATTCAATACAATGCTATTGAAATTTAAGGAGAATTTTTAAAGAAACTTGAAAGACTTATTTTAAAATTTATATGAAAGAATAAAGTGTGTGAATATATTTATCAATGGGGAAAAAATAAAAGAGTAAAGACTCATCCCACCAGATTTTATGAATAATACAAAGAAATAATAATAAAAGGTGGTAAAGTCTTATTGTAGAAAAGACATATATAAGGAGAATAGAATGGAAGGCACAGACGAGATATATGTATATATGGGAACCTATCATTTGCTGGGGGTGGCTTCACAAACCATTAGAAAAGTATATACTATTTAACGGATGACGCTAAGGAAAAATGGCTCACTATATGGAGATAAAGTTGGCTTTCCATCTCCTGTATACATAAATACATATATATTTTGTGTGTGTAAACTCCTGAAGTGTAGAAGATATTTAATGTGAACAGTAAACTTAACAAATAAGAGAAAATGTCGTATAATGTCCTTGAAAATTTAGGGCAGGGAAAATTTTCTTTTAAAAAGACCCAAAAAGTAAAAACTATAAAATTAAAAACATTGCTGGACTGAGGACATCAAAATTTAGGATTTTGGTTAGATAAAGCACTGCACAGTTAAAGTAACAGGTGATAGATTGGAAGTGAATATTTGCAATATTTAAGGAAAAAAAAAACGGTTTCTTCCAAATCACAAAGAAAAAGATAAGAACCTTAATTTTTAAAATGGGCAATGGATGTAAACAGGCAATTCACAGAATGGAAAACTACAAAACTATCATGTATATGTGTGTGTGCGTATAAATATACATGAACGAATGAAGAAGTGCTTGCCCACACTAGTGAGCAGAAAATACAAGCTGAAAAAATAAGTGTGATGCCACCTGACACACAGAAGACTGACAAAACCCAGAAAGTTGGATAATGGCAAATTTGCGGGTGGGCAATGGTTGGAAGAAAAGAGTCACGTGCCCGGACCACGTGCTCCCCGCCCCCTCCGCCCACGCGACCCTGGGCGTAGTTTCCAGCCCTTGAACACAAAGGGGAAGCTGGACACCCACCGCTTCCCCGTCACAGCCTTGCCGTCTGTAGCCAAAGGAAAAAATACCCTACTTGAGACTTTGCAGCTCTTGCAGCCTCTCTGGGCTCACGGGGAACATGAGTGGACGGGCCCGTGTGAGGGCACGAGGCATCGCCCGCAGCCCCAGTGCCACGGAAGTGGGGCGCACCCCGGTCTCGCCATCGGTGTGTAGAAGCTTAGCAGCCATGGTTTCATTCTCTTCTTCCTCTCTCCCGCCTGAACGGTGCCTTCCTCTGCATATATATCCTCCCCTCTGTTTTAGAAAGTGTAGTGCATTATCTTGTCTCTCATCTTTGAGTCTTTCCAAGGTGTCTCATATTCTTCCTTCTAGGGATTTTATCTTAAGATTTTTTTTAAAAAATTATTTTTTCTTTTTTGTTTCAGCATATTATGGGGGTGCAAATGTTTAGGTTGCGTATATTGCCCTTGCCCCACCCGAGTCAGAGCTTCAAGCGTGTCCATCCCCCAGACAGTGCACATCGCACCCATTAGGTGTGAATATACCCATTCCCTCCTCCCGCCTCCCATCTGCCCCACACCCGATGAATGTTATTACTATATGTGCACTTAAATGTTGATCAGTTAACACCAATTTGATGGTGAGAACATGCGGTGCTTATTTTTCCATTCTTGGGATACTTCACTTAGTAGAATGGGCTCCAGCTTTGAGTAAGATGTTAATGTAAGTATATTAGCCATTAAAGAGGACTGAAGATTGCAGGCAAGTGTGTCATGTCTTCTACTTTCCCAGTTTTAATTACTTGATTGAGTTTTAAATTGCCTGGTAAAAAGTGAGGTACCTTCATGCCATCATATGGCATATAATCTAATACGATTTTTGTCTCTAATTAGTATTTAAAAATAAGCAGTCTCAAACACAGATATGGTTTAGAGTCAACTACTGTTTAACGAGCAATCACTAGGCGTAGGGCTCCTTGCTGGACTTAGGCAACTAGAGACTTGACCTGCAAATAAACAACTTTGGAGAGAAGTTACAATTACATATTTTTGAAATTTTTGAATTTGGAGCAATCTCTCTTAGACCAAAAAGTATTCAAATGAGTAGTTTGTGGTCATTGTGCCTTAATGCTCATGAAGTGGTCTTCTCTTGATACTGCTCACTTTTTAGCAGGCCAAGATATAGTAACTTCTTGAATGAAGAGAAGTAGTTATTGTGAAAAGAGAATGCTAATGGTTCTCTCTGCCTGTGTTGTGAACTAATTTTGGCTTGGTTTATTCAGGGAGAGTCATCATCTGAGCTGGTGACCCAGGTCGTCTGGGCTCAATTTACTGTCATGTCCCTGAGCCATGGAAGCATGAGGTCCATGTGCATCAGTGCCATGTTCCTTCTGATGAGCTCCCTGAGCACAAGGATCACATCTCTTTACACCCCCGGGGTCTAACACTGTATCTGGCTTACAGTCAGTACTAATGTCAAAGTTTGATGAGTGGGGAAAACTATAGCTTGTCCTTATCCTTTCTTCCAGAATGGGCACTTTCTTCTCATTGCTGAAGAGTTTTACTTGTTAACATTTTGTTTTTCTAGTTCACGGTGATCTAATGACACGGTACTGTTCTTGTGATAACTTTTTGGTTTGTGAATTACCATCTCAAATCTGAACAAAAAAATTTTTTTGCCCTATTTAGCCTGCATCTGTTGTTCTTAGTGACAATGAAGCGTCCTCTAGCAGTGAATTCATGGAAACAAGTAGGATTTCACTGAACTGTAAGTGCAACCAAGTCTGTTCCATTTAGTTCCGTTCAATGTGAATAAAACAGGAGGGACACTACTATGCCTTACGGCAGCCGGCTCACTTCTGCGCATCTCAGTTTCCTTTTCTGGAAGAATCCCCCATTTGTCATGTTCCTTTGGGACTCTAACACAGAATCAACTGCTATATTTCCTGGCAGTGCTTGCTAGGAATGGGAATTCACAGACATTAGGAAGCCACTTTTCTGATTCTTTCTGTTCACTGAAGAATTTTGAAAAAATATTTTTAAAATCTTTGTAATGTGTAAATACCAATGCCATCACCTTGCAGGGATGGTAGAAACCTGGCATGCATGCTCTCTTCTTCTTTCCCACCTGTGGTAGACATCAACATTCGATGGTAGCTCTCTTCCCTGCAAAGCTAGATTTGGTCTCAGGATATTTGTCAACATGCTGCTACAAGTAGCCACTGTCACGCAGTGCAAGTTGGCATGCCCAATGTATTAGTTTACTTGGCTGCCATATCAATATTGCACATACTAAGTGGCTTAAATAAGAGAAATTTATTTTCTCGCAATCCTGAAAGCTTAAAGTCTGAGACAAGGTGTCAGCAGGGTCAGGTTCTTCTGAGGCCTCTATGCTTGGCTCTGATGGCCGTCTTCTCCCTGTGTTCACATAATCTTTCCTCTGTGCATGTCTGTGTCCTAATTCCTCTTCTTATGGCATCAGTCATATTGGATTAGGGACCACCTTAATGACCCTCACTTCAACTTAATCACCTCTTTAAAGACCTTCTCTCTAAATTAGGTCACATTCTGAGGTATTGAGGGTTAGGACTTCAACATATGAATTTCGGGAGGGGGGTCACAATTTAGCCAGTAACGCTGATGAAACCTGTTAGCCATCTCCCATGTTCTGATCATAAGGTTAAGTGATTGATTTCTAGTAAGTGTGTGAGCACATAAGTTCTCCCAGACTCTGAGTGTCTGGACCCTTCACCCGTCTCATGCCTGACTCTCCTGTTCCTCACTGGGGGTTTTCCAGCCCTGCTTAAGTGCCAAAAAGTCAACATCTCTGTACTCATTTGGAAACTAATTTTAATTTCATATTTTCTAGAAGCTAACAGTAAGTAATATGCTCCAAGGTAAAACACTGGCTTTCATTCTTGTGGAGAATGATGTAGAATAAAAGCTGATGGCAATGTTCTGAGAAATTTCTGTTTTTTTCATTGGGAAAGGTGAAAGATTCAGCCTCTTTCTGTGCAGAAGTTAGTGTAGACAGAAGTTAGTCTGTGACTTTTCAGAGTGTTACACAACAGGTAATGGAGGGAGAGCTGCCCTCTGTCAATAGGTGTGGAGTGCGCCATGGGGAGATAGGGAGATAGGGCTTTCTCCTTAGCCAAGAAGAGAAGGTCTATAATAGTATAAGAGTGAGAGCTAACTCAAAATCTGCTATTTCTAACAAAACATTTCATGCTTCCTTCACAATTTCCAGTTTTTAGGCCAAAGACTTCTGTAGAGTCATGAATATTTTCACGATGTGGGCATGTTTTATTAAAAACCCCAAGTATTGATTGTACATGCATTTTTGATATAGTAGTTGTAAACAATATCACCAGAATTAAATATGAGATATTACTGTTCTCTTCATGGTTTAGGTAAAGATGGTGTATCTTCTGGTAATGTTGGAAGTACCTTCTCTGAAAGAGGTGTGGCAATCAGTCGGAACTTCATGGATTTGGATATCTGTACCAGACAGAAATTGGCACATGTGAGAGATTGTAAAACAGGTATCCAGTCTTCATGTTAGCTACTTTTTTAATGTTACTAAATCTTACATAAGGAATTTCAATTTCTAGGTATAAAATAAACAAGTTCATATATTTACTTAACAAATATTTATTGAACATCCACTATGTTCAAGGCATTGTTAGACACTTTCTGATTTTTAGCATTAATCTTCTCTTTTATTAATAGAAATATAGCATCTTCCCCAAAACTACGTGTTACTTTTGGAAAAGATTTTCTCCTTATACCTAGGGTGAGAATTAAAAAGATGCTTCTTCTGTTTCCCAACCTTTACCCTATGTGGAGAATAATACCCTTTCTGTACTCGAGCTGTAAAGAGAAAGACATGAGCTATTTGGGGAATTCTTTACCCAGATTCCAGGTTCACCTTTAAAATTGCATACACAATTGTAGGTATATTTATTTTCTGGGAAGTAGGTCTCTTGTTTTCATTGGATTCTCAAAAGACTTTGTGGTTCCCTATCAAAAGTTAAGACTCACTGATGGAAATCAGTGTCTTTCAAACTTTTTAAAAACCAGGCAGCAGAATGAGAAATCGATATATTATTATCCAGCGTACACACACTGCACACACACGGTCAGAGCAAAAGTTTCATGAAACAGTGCTTGCCCTTACTCTATGCCAGGCACTCTGTTCCTTTGTGTTGTATTCTGGTCTTTTCATTAAACATGCGGTTGGCCTCACTTAGTTTCATAACTGCGGCACGAATGGGGCCCAGCTGCAATTTGAGAACACTAATGCAGATGATCTTGAAGGGTCTCTCCAGCTCTGACATTCCAGGCTGACTTCTTTTTGTCCATTTATATGAGCAGCTAAAATATGTTGCCGTTTCCTCTGTATTTGGGAGAACAAAAGAAAGCTTTTTCTTAACTAAAATAGTACATGATATCTTTTTCCTACCAGATGTATACCCCAGGTTGAAGCCGAGGAAATAGTACGGCACACATGATGACCTCCTCTTCCTCACCACCTCAGGGGCTCATGCTTTCACTTCCTCCATGAGAAAAGCTAAATAGTGCCTATTTGATATCATTCTTTCTGTAGGATAAAAACTGGATGATTCCCTGTAAGGAGAAGTGAGAAGTACTGAGCACTATCTGAGCATATTGTGGCCATCTCTGATCTTGTCCTGTAGATGACAGTATTTAAGTTGTGAATAAAAATTTCTGTAGGGGGCTGGAACTCCCAGAAGCACACGTGGCCTCCATGTGCCTGCGGGAAATAGAAGGCCAGAGGCCCAATTTGTTTTCATACAGGAAAGATGCAATTCCTTCCTCTCTCCCCAGCTCTCTCCTCACTCTCTGAGGGTCTTCTCTGGGATTGTATAGTGGTCTAACCACTGATTGAACTTTTTCAGAATTTTTAGAAGTATGATTAACTTTTGATTATCTGGATTTCCCAGAGGCTCGGGGTTGTGTTCCTGGTAAAAACTGGATGGTTTCTTTTCTTTCTTTTTTTTTTTTGAGAGAGAGAGTCTCACTCTGTTGCCCCGGCTAGAGCACAGTGGCGTCATCACAGCTCACTGCAACCTCCAACTCCTGGGCTCAAGCGATCCTCCTGCCTCAGCCTCCTGAGGAGCTGGGACTATAGGGGCTCGCCACCATGCCTGGTTAATTTTTCTATTTTTTGTAGAGATGGGGTCTTGCTCTTGCTCAGTTTGGTCTTGAACTTCTGAGCTCAAGCAATCCTCCTGCCTTGGCCTCCCAGAGTGCTAGGATTACAGGCATGAGCCACTACGCCCGGCCTGGACAGTTTCTTTGTAATATGAGAGCAGCATAATTTCAGAGCAGAATCTGAAAATATTATTCCAACTAGCTGATTTGAATTGCAGAGAATGAGAGCTGGAAGGCACGCTTTGGAAGGAGTCTCAGGGTGGTTGAGTTTGGATGTATCTCTTCTCCCAAGGACCAGAATGTCAGTGTCTGCTCTTATGTTCGTATGAGGCCTGCTTCACACATGGTCCTGTCTTAAGTCCCAACAACGTTATCAGGCTGCAAGTTTTAGAGTTTCTCTTATGTCACTGAGCAAAAATCTTTGCTTTACAGCAACTACGATACATATGCCAATAGGTTTTTTTTAAATGATATGATTAATATTAATATGGTATGAATTTTTTTGGTAAAAAAATTGTTATTTATCTTTCTCAGGTTCTAGTGGAATACCTGTGAAACTGGTTACAAATCTCTTTAGTTTAGATTTGCCCCAGGACTGGCAGCTATACCAGTACCACGTGACGTATATTCCAGATTTAGCATCTAGAAGGCTGAGAATTGCTTTGCTTTATAGTCACAGTGAACTTTCCAACAAAGCAAAAGCATTTGATGGTGCCATCCTTTTTCTGTCACAAAAGCTAAAAGAAAAGGTAGAGTATGGTTAATTTTTTCACTGTGTGTTTGTGAATACATATACGTATATATACTTATACATATATATTAGTATTTAAAAAATTAGTTGATTTTCATGACAGTTGGAACAAGTGTTTGACTCACTCCTTTCCTGTTCCCTGTTCCCTTGCCTGGGAGCTACAAGACTTCCTAATTAAGACTTCAATTGGTTTTTTAATTAAGGAGCTGATGGTCTGGTATTTTAAAAATAAGAGCCATAAGTGTCCTTGAAATAAGCATCTTTTAAAAACTCCTCCTCAAATAAGCAAGACTTTAAGAAACACCATGTAGCCTATGGCTTCAAAGCTTTAAATTCTGCTTTTTTTGCTCCTTCACACTTGTGCCTGTGTAGCCAAAGGATTTTATATCAATCTCTGATTCAAGAACTGTCATTTCTTTCATGACTTGCTCCATCATATGAAGTATGAGTTCTTGATATCCATTTTAAAAGTGTTTTTTAAATGTGACCATTGGAAATGACAATTGGATGTTTCATATTCCTTTATCCATTGTTTTTACACCTTCAATATTTTCAATATTAAAGATGTTGGTATTGATGTTTTTATCATATGCTTTGTTCTAAAAGAATATTAAAATTACTATAAGAAAAAAACCCACTTTCTTTATGAAAAATTAAAACAGAGCATTGGATTAAAACTTTATGCTTCTATTCCTTGGGAAACGTAGTCCTCTCATTCAACATTTTGAACGGTATGATATCAATAGCATAGAGTTAAATTTTTAGACTCTAGGCACGTTTTTGTGAATTTCCTCAGGAAATGTTTTTCCGAGCACTCTGGGGGCCTTTATTCTTTCAGGAGCCCCTGAGATTTGTAGGAGCTACTTGAGCGATGATTTCATCTGGATATGGAACTTTAAAATCATAACATATGGCTAAATTTAATGGCTTAGAAAATCTGTAATTTTAGAAACAATTTTATTCACTATAAATCCTTATTAATCCTTCACTGTTTTGTCCTGTGACCAGGTGTGGATAGCATGTTAATATTGGCTTCTCATACTTAACTGATATATTTTAAGTGTATTGTTATCATTAAAGATCATCTTGTTTTGTGGATACATTCGTAGCAATAGTTTAGAAATTTAGACATGTTAAAATTATTATATACCAGCCTTGAACAGTCCAGCTTACTTCAATTGTGCCTATACAGAATGGAGAAATTTTACTCTACTGATGCTAGGAGTAAGTTAATACTACTCATTCTCATCTAAAATAAGCGTGAAATATGTGTCAAACACCTTTTTGGTGCTGGGGATGTAGTCTAACGAGGCAGGTGGGAAGTTAGACTGTTAAAAACGTGGTAGGGGCAAAATACATCAATGCTTGTTAATTAACTGACTCCTTCTAATTCCTTATCCTTTTGAAAAATCTCTGATCACTGATTGATATTTATTGACTGATTTGTGCATTCTTTTATTTCAAAAGCTTATACTAAGTCCTGTCTGGTCCAAGAAGCTTTTTAATTGGGGAGCTGCTATGGAAACCTACTTATGCATTCATTAGATTTCTAGAACATCGTTCCGTTATAAGAACCCTGTGATTTCTCTAGACCTTTCAGAAATTATGAAATCAGATTTCTGTCTATTCTAACTTCTACCACTTTCTCCTCTCTCTCCCCACGTTTACTTTTCCTCTTGTCTGTCACTACTCTGTTGCTTTCCTCCTCTCTGCTCTGCTCTTCTACATTATAAATAAACTTTTGAGAGACTCTCCTCTGGAATCCATGAACTTGGGATGAGGCTGGTAGCCCTTTAATAGGCTTCTGGGTATCCATGACCCCCGTGAAAATGGGTACACTGTTATGTACGCTGTTATGGTATATACATCTGTAAAACTTTCTTAGGAGAATGTCTGTAACTTTTATCAGACTCTCAGAGTAATTCAGGACCCATCTCCCTCCTACCCCCCAAAAAGATCAAGAACCACTTGCTCTGGAATTTTCTTTGAATCAAATCTTTGAACCATGAGTCTGGCTTTGGTTCTCCCTTAAGAAGTTAGAGAGTAGAAAATTGTGTTGTTTATTTATTTATTTTTTTTATTTTAAAATTTTTTTGGGGGGAATCAAACCACTTTATTGAGAGGAACTGGGGACAGGGAGCAAAGAAGGGTGTAGAACAATGAGATCCAACGTCTTCGGCCAGGCCAGGACCTCCCAGGCTTTACAGACGGCGAAAGCTGTGTTGCTTTTTTTGGTTTAACAAGATACAGAGGGAAAAAACTCTCCAAACATAATGTAATGATTAGATTATTACTCATATACTAACACCTGCAGTTCTGTTTCTGTTAATGCATATAAATTGTGATGGCTTTATAATGTCTACATTCTGCCCACTTGGGGACAGTTTGTGGTGTGCGTATTGAGTACCTCTTTTCCCAGGTCACGGTGCTGTCAAGTGAAACTAAAAGAGGCGAGACTGTGAAGATGACTATCACTCTGACAAGCGAGCTGCCGTCCAGTTCCCCCGTGTGCATTCAGGTCTTCAACATCATCTTCAGAAAGTAAGGCCTTTGAAATGTGAATGTCATAGGAGCTATCCATACCACCTTTCAGCGCAGAGCCTGGCCGTTAAAATATCAACCATTTTGTGAGCAACGTGCGAGCAACCATGTCATCTTTAGGGCAGTTTTTCACGTACTTTCACATACTTGCATGATAATGTGCAACACAGTCCATCACAGCCTCTCAGTGGCACAAACCGTTGTTGTCTGATATCATCCAAGTTGAGGAAGGACATATTTTTCGTGTCTCACTCTCAGGGTGCCTTTTTCCTTTTCTTCTTTCTCTATGCTCCCTCCCACCCTTCACCCCCAGACTTTAAAAAGTTCACTGTGTTTGACTTAGCCAGCCGAAGGATTTGTTTTTCTCCTGGCTGCTTGATTTGGGATGTAAAAGACCATCACCGTCTGCTTTCGGCCCTGGCTCCGCCCCTGGTCCTTTCCCTTCCCCACAGGCATGCGGCTGTAACCCGGCCTTTCAGTGTTCTTCAGAATGGTCCAAAGATCACGTGCTCCGAAGTCATCTTGGGGGTGGAGCAGAATTCCATAGAATGCAGATTCCCTGGCCCCTCTCTGAAAGTAATTAGTAAGCAGAATTGCACAGGCGGGGTCTGAAAATCCACATTTTTGGGATACACGAAAGCTCGAGAACCCCTGTCTTACATGCTGCCAGTGTGCATCATTAGGACGATCTGGTCAAAAACCTTCGAGGCCAGCCCTTTGCTCAACAGTGGCTGCTGGCGCTGAGGACGGGGAAGTTTGGGGATTTGCTGAGTAGCTGGGGCACATAAAGGAACTTCCCCCGCACAGACGCACCGTTTCCTAATGCCAGTCAGATGTCTGGTTCAAGTGCTGCGTAACAGCTCTTCAGAAGCCAGTCTCGCCTGTGCCCTCCTGAGAGGAGACTGTTAAACCAGCTGGCATTCGGAAGATGCTCTTTAGCGACAAAGCTCTTTCACTGTGTTTTATCTTACTTGATCCTCACTAGAGCACCCTGAGGCAGGTACTATCCAAATCCCCATTTTACAGATAAGGAGGCTGAGGCTCAGTGACATTTGGTAGCCAGAATCACAGTTGGAACCGTGTTTTCCAACTCAAAACTCCCCACGTTTCCCCCTTGCACTGGGCACCCTCACATTAGTGACGTCTCAGATTCCTAAGGTGGCCGAGATCAGTTGCTGGAGAGGCAGTCTTGGTTACTTGGCAGCACTGGGGAGCGTGAGCAGCTTCTCTGGGAACAGCCTCCTCGTCTCAAAATAGGGAAGAGTCCAGAAGAGGCTTCAGACCTGGCTTGTCTCACCCCATCCGGGGCTCACCAGAACATTACAGCCACGGTCAGCATTGGTAATTGACCACATATTTATCATCAGTTAAGCTCAGACAGATAGAAATAGTTTCAGTTGTATCATTCTCAACTATGAAGAAGTAGTTCTTATGTATACACTCATAAGTATATTTAGTACCTAAACCTTCCAGTGCTATGAGAATGAGCATTCTGTACTTTCTATATTGTCTTATCATTATGTTCAGCAAGGGTAGGAACTTAGAATTACACAGTTGTTGACTGATATTTACCAAAAATTCAAAAAATATCCTTGCAGGATCTTAAAAAAGTTGTCCATGTACCAAATTGGACGGAACTTCTATAATCCCTCAGAGCCAGTGGAAATTCCCCAGCACAAGTAGGTTTATTTCTATTTTCTGTTACTCTGAAATTGTTATGACATGTGCAACATAATTTGCAATGCAGTATTATACCATTATGCCTCCTGTGAGACTCTGTGTTATGAAATGTAATGGATTTTTTTAATTTTCAAGTATCTTTTTTATAGAACAGTGAATGTGAATGTGAAGCTAGCAGCCTGCCTTCTTGTATTAGTGTGCTAGATCATTATCATAAGTCCTAGAAGGGATTGAGAAACTGAATTCTCTGTGTATAACAAGTAATAATGAAAGCAGAATAGGCTGTATTATGTTGTAACACATAGTTGAGGATCCATTTTCTTGTTGAAAGGAAGTTAGCAGAGGCAGGGGGGTTGACATGAAATCACTGGGTAAACAGAGGTCAGACAGAGAAGCCAACAGACTACCCTAGTGAGGGACAGAACTGTTACGAGCACTTGCAGAATTTCCACCCTAAACTGGGAATTGGACGCTGCAGACAAAGTGGTCAACCATATGTTGAACTGGTTGTTACTTAACTCTTAAAATACTGTAGTCAAGTTAAAGATGGAGAAGCAACTGGTAGCCCAAGGACAGATACATAAAGGGAGAAGTGCATAAAAGATGGAAAGTGGAGGTGGGGTGTTTGGCTTTCTGCCAGGTGGAGGAAAATGATGGGTTTTCCATATGTTCATTCAAAGTGCCAGAGTGGTCTCTCTAAAGCATCCTATTATTTGTCCCTGCCACTTATTTCTCCATCTGGATTAGAAATTCTCATAGTCTGGGCTTGTGCTGAGCTGCAGTGGATGCTCAATGCAAATGCTTGTCCTGAAGGCTGTCTTAGTGTCACAGTGAATTAGGTACACAAAAGACAAACTGGAGTGATTTCTAAAATAATATTTGCCTATTCTTTCATGCCATTACTGTTAACTTCTTATTCGAGACTTTTCAGTCTGTGTGGGAAGGAACTGTTGCCTATGCTTCAGTTCCTCTTGTATATCTGTTCATGGTGTCACTTCTGTATTTTTTAATCTCATTATTAAGTCTGTTCACTGACCCCACCTTTTGAGTCTGGGTGCTTTTTTGAACCTAGATGTTTTTGTGCTGGGACAGATCACTCCATGCATGTATTATTCCTACAGCTGTTTTTTCCAACCAGGGGCATTTTTGCCCCCCTCCCCCGACATTTGCTATTGTCTGGAGACATTTTTGGTTGTCACAGTGGGGGCTGCTACTGGCACCTAGTGGGTAGAAGCCAGGGATGCTGCTAAACATCTACAATGCACAGAACAGCCCCTGACAAAGAATTATGTAGTCTGGTCCAAAAGGTTAGTAGTGCTAAGGTTGAGAAACTGCTTTATAGTAATGTATTTTATCCTAAATGAATGTTTAAAGACACTGCAGCTGAAAATAAAGTTTTTAGTCAGCAACTGGAAGAAATCAGACTAAAGAAAAAAATTATAAGATCTAGAGAATTAGAATGAAAAATCACCATTTAAAATCTTTATTTTTTTGCTATAATATTTAAAATATTCATTTGTTTGTTTTTAATTATTTTTTTTGTTTTTAAAGATTATCCCTTTGGCCTGGGTTTGCCATTTCTGTATCCCAGTTTGAAAGCAGGCTCCTGTTCAGTGCTGACGTGAGTTATAAAGTCCTCCGGAATGAGACGGTTCTAGAATTCATGACTGCTCTCTGCTACAAAACTGGCCTGTCCTGCTTCAGCGAGACGTGTGAGAAACAGCTGATAGGGCTCACTGTCCTCACAAGGTAAAAGCCTGCATCTGAATAAACTTTTCTCCAGACAATCAATTATTTATGGTATTTGGGGACAGGGATAGGTTGGAGCATTGGCCTGATCCGTTTATTCATCTGTTTAGAAGGCCTGGCTGTTCTCAGTTGTCTGGAGCCCAGACATGCTTGGGTGGCATTCTGGACAGTCCACCAGCTGCTGCGGTCCCGGAATCTCTCTTGGGGTGTCCTCCTCGCCACCACCCCACTCTCTAGTCCGCCCACAAACAGCCTGCACTTTTCTGCTTCAGTTCAGTTCGGTTCAGTTCAGTTCAGTTGCCTGGATTCCCCACCCCCAATTCTGCCTTTTAATTTTGACTTCCACAAAGCTCAGCTCTAATGTCACCCCTTTACAAAGCCTCCACTTGCCCACCCAGTTGGAATTATTCACTTACCTCCTTGGGCTGCTCCCATAACTCTTTGCTTATAGCCACCTCTGTATGGTCACTTTATTTCATGTTATTATCTCACGGGGCAGAATGTTAGGTCCTTGTCTCACCTCCTCTGTAAGAGTCTGAGGTTTTTTAGTCTGAGACCGTTTTTACTTCTTTGCAGACCTCTAGGATTGTCTGTATAAAATTTGCCCTCAATGCACAAATTTGACCAGATTAAACACGGGCAGATTAGATGACTTCTGAGTACGAAGATGCCCACCCTATACTACTGCTAATCCAAGACTACTTCTTTGAGGGGACATGTTAGCATTCTGATCTGGCTTAGAAGTTCCACTTAAAGTAATTTTTCTGGGTTATATAGCAGAGAGGTGGGACTGGCTGAATTCGCACTACCTGGAATGAGAAGGCCACCCTCTTATGCTCCTGTCATGATCTTGATGGATTAGCTTGTCATATTTCAAAGTCTCCTTGCAAGGGCCAAGAGCTCTGGAGAAGCCTGCATGGAGGTTTCTTTCCCAAAGCTGGGCAGCCTATAAGGACATTCCAGGCCACACAGTGCTGGAGGAGGATGGAGCTTAGAATAATCTTAGCTGACTTGTTTTGTAGTTTTGCCGAGGGCCAGCCCTAGCTGGGAGGTTAAGCAGGTGTGGTTGATTAGCCCCTTTTGGTGCTTTTTCTCAGAAAGACCACCTGGGGGCTCAGGAACTCTCAATGACATGAGAAACTGATGGGAAAGTTTTGAGCAATGCTTTGGCCTTTGCTCATTTAAGAATGATTTACCTGAAGTTAGAGTGTCTATCAGTGACAAAAATAAACTGTGGGCTAATGACTTTCCCATAGGTTTTGTTGGAATACTGACAGAGATCCTCCTATATACTGAAGAATTAAGTCATACTCTGATAAGAGCTGATCATTACAAAAAAAAAAAAAGAATATTCTTGTCTTACAATCTTTTGCAATTTTTGACATTCTGGAGTCTATCTTATCCTTTGTTTTTTTTTGTTTGTTTGTTTGTTTTTGAGACAGAATCTCACTGTGTTGCCCGGGCTAGAGTGCCGCGGCGTCATCCTAGCTCACAGCAACCTCAAACTCCTGGGCTCAAGTGATCCTTCTGCCTCAGCCTCCCGAGTAGCTGGGACTACAGGCATGTGCCACCATGCCCGGCTAATTTTTTCTATGTATTTTTAGTTGTCTGATTAATTTCTTTGTATTTTTAGTGGAGACGGGGTCTCGCTCTTGCTCAGGCTGGTTTCGAACTCCTGAGCTCAAACAATCCGCCCTCCTCGGCCTCCCAGAGAGCTAGGATTACAGGCGTGAGCCATCCCCGCGCCCGGCCTATCTTATCCTTTGAATTAAAAGTGTGGTTAAGTATAATACCTGCTCATCTTAGATGATTAGGAAAGTTTTTTTTTTAAGAGACTGCTTGCATTTACCAGATACAATAACAAAACCTATCGCATTGATGACATTGACTGGTCCGTGAGGCCCACGCACACCTTTCAGAAGCGGGATGGCACTGAGATCACCTACATGGATTACTACAAGCAGGTAGGATGTTTTCTTCCTTCATCCTCAGCTCCTTTCCTCTTAGCTCTTGTTCTCCTCCAAATCCGACAAGTGCCCGGGTGGTCAGGCCGAGTCTGCCTCCTACTTGATTCTTGCACTGTCCCTTCTCCTGTGTCCCCACCACCCCTGTCTCCTGGTGACCCTCATCCTGTCTCCTTCCTCCTGTAATCTCAGTCTTCTCCCTTAAAAGCATATCTGATCATGTCACTTCCAAGGTTAAAGCATTTCCATGTCTCCTACCTCCTTAGGATCCACATATAACCTCCTTAGCAGAGTCACTATGACCCTTTATGATGTGTCCACACCCTGCTTCTCCAGCCTTATCTCTTGCCACTCCCCTCTTCTCTCCCTGTGCTTGGCTGGACTTGCCTTTTGGGGTTCTGTGACTCAGTTTCTCCCCTGTGCATTTTCACACACATTGCTTCCTCTTCCTGCATACCCTTTCCCAGCCAGACAAACACTGAACTCCCTTCCACGCTCAGCTCCCCCCGCCCATCAGCTCTCAAGGGAGCCCCACGGCGCTCCTCGCAGGCACCCCTCCCTGCACTTAGATGCATCAGGTCATCACAGGCACCACACGAATGGTCTGACCCCCCTCCCGGACCTTGGGCTCTCGGGGGCTTACCTTGAGCTCTTCATTTCTGGACACCCAGGTCTAGCACAGTGCTTTGCACAGAGCAGATACTCCAGAAGCGTTTATGGGTGGAATCTCCTGCTGCCTGTGGAAGCTCTGTTCACATTTATCACAGTTATACCTGCCCCCACTTTCATGCTCAGTGCCTTTCAGAGGTGCCTTCTCTTTAGTGTATAGTCATATTCAGGTCCCCAAATCTCATGGATGTTTTAAAAAGCAACAGACAAAAACCAAAAACCCTTCCTTGATTTTTAGAAAGTCACCCACGCTAGCTTCAAGCACATTTTTCAGTTCTTCTTTCCTGAAACCTCAGTAGGTCTGGCACCTGGTTCTGCTGCTATAGAAATAGCTCTATAAAGGTCAAATTCAGTTACTGTTCTTTTTTTTTTCTTTTTGGAGGAGTAAAACCATTTTATGTATGTATTCAGAATCACACACAAGTTACCTTTATAGTTCATTTTACTATACAGAAATCATTTGAGTTTTATATTTTCAGTTAAATTTTGAACTGAGATTAAGTTACTGTTCTTATCCTAAGGGGCATTCAGTGGCGTTTGAGACTGTGACCCTCCCACCTGAAGGAATTGACCTCTCCCTTCCTTGACTCCTGGGACACACCCCTGTGGTTCTCTGCTCAGTTTCAGGTTGTTCTAGCTCAGTCTCCTTTGATGTTTTCCTTTTTACTTCCCCCCAAAAGGAACCGTTAAGGAATGGTTCCCTCGCATAAAACCTTTTCTTTGTATTTTGAGATGGCTCACGTAGAGTGTTTTTGCATTGCCCTCATTCCCAAATGATATATCCATCTCCATTTTCAGAACATATTTGCGTGCGTATCCCGCAGGCATCTCAAACTAACATAGTTCAAATTGAGTTCATTGTCTTTCCCATGTCTATTTCTCCTTGGGAGTGTTGCAGCTCAGTTAGGAATCATTTCGCTTTCTTCCTCTTCCTCACTCGTCACCAAGACAAGTTCTGTATTATTTGTCCTAGAATTCTCTCTGGAACCCATCCCTCCTCCTCAGCCTGTCCCCACTGCATGACTACAGGACCTCTCATGGATACCCTGTGGGGCAGGTACTGCTGTCACCCTTTGTGGTCACCTTGCCCAGCTCTCTCCTCACTGTGATCCGTCATCCTCACGGCCCCTAGAAAGATCTTTCTGAAGTGCTGCCCAGAAATGTGGCTAAGAGCATAAGCTCTGGAATAACCTTGGGTAAATCACTAAACATGGAGGGTCATCTGTAAAGGGGAGTTCTCTCTCTGCTTTCATGGTGCAGTGTGAACACTGGACAAGATGATTGTGCCCGCAAAGCGTTTCTCAGGTGCCGGCATATTGTGAGCACTGGGCGAATAGTGAAGACCCTTCCCCTCCTTTCTATTCTCCCCTTCTTCCGCTCTAGCATCGCACAATTTGACCCCATCCCCCTTTCAGCCTCATCTCCCTCGGCATCTTCCCCCCCGGCCTCCCCCACCCCTCGTGCACTCAGTAGCCACTGCACACTCCTCAGCATTTGCACGTGTTCACCGGACATCTGCATAAAGCCACACTGTGCCTCTCTCCTTCACCGCTAGGTCAAATCCTAGCTTCAAGGTCACGTGTGACGTCTTCTCTGACTTTGCTTTCTGTCATACGCATGGAAGAGCTACCTGTTCTCTTCTCCAAGCACCTTTGCCATGGATCACATTGCTTCTAGAACACATGTTCCTTGTAGAACAAGGATGGCATTTGGCTAATCTTTGATGCATAGTACCTAGTGAAGCATCTTGTGCGTAAAATATGCTCTGTGTTTATTTATTAAACCCACAGTGTGTTAAACATTTGAGTTTCTTTCCTGTATGATTAAATTTGTTCTTATTTGAACAGATGTATTTTAGGACCTGTGACATTCTGAAAAGGGAATCATGATAAAAATCTCACTCACTTTTTTGTACTGAGTTGTGGTTCACTGTATGTATATTGTCATTAGGGAGAAAAAGAAAGAAAATTGTGTCAATGTCTAATATGTCCTCCTCTTTGCTCCATGAAAGGAAGACTGAATTATTATGTCATCAGTCTTCAAAGTGGAAGACATCTTACTTTTGACCTTTATATTTCTCTATTTTAGCTTATCATTAAACATATTTTTAAATGCTAAGAAGAATGGGGCAAGGGAGAGGGTCAAAATCACCTTATGACAGCAGCTTAGTGGGTAGAGCTGTTGGCCATGCTCCAGCTAAATAGAACACTCTCATCCTGGAGCAAGCCCCAGTTTTGCTTGTGCTATTAACTGAGACTCTCTGTACTCCCACCTGTTCTGTAAGGTTTTCTCTTGGCCTCTGTCTCCGTGAAGCCTTCCCTGATTTACCAGCCATAAACTGTTTCGCTACCACTCCCTTCTTGTCCTCTCCACCTTGCCAGCCCAGGGATCCAGTACTAAATTGTGTAACAAGCAGAGTCTGAAGAGGTAAATCCTGGGCCAGCTAATTTCTGGTTATGGGGCCTTGGGAAAGTTGTTTAATTTCTCGCAGTGTTTCTTCATCTATGAAGGGGATGATAATAGTATCTATGTCATAGGTTTGTTGTTAAGATTAAGTGGAGAAAAATATAAGTCCTTAGCATATCATTGTTTGTGCTTCTCATCTGCCTCCCTTTGTAATTAATGTATTTATGTGTAGAGGCAGGGACTGTGCCTCTTCTATCCTCATGTCCGCTGCACTTCCTGGAATGCAGTAAGCACACCATGTACTGAATTAATGAAGTCATGTGTGAAAGCTCTCTTTTGATAGAAGCTTTTTAACCGTAGCATGAGTTGCACTCGCCACTCTAAAATGAGATTCCTGAAATGTTTTTTATTTGAATGACTAAAAGTCCTTTGAAATAAAACATGCTCACATCTTACTGCCTTAGTTATATTAATAATTATTGATGTTAGCATCACATAGTGCCCAGGCCTTTTTATAAATGATAATGCCCAGTTGTTCTGTAGTTTGTGTTGAGTAAATTATACTGGAAATGAGTGTTAATTGTAACCTTTGCTGTTGGAAGGTAAGCGAACTTTTGGAAAGGAGAGAACGTTGGAATTTGAGTCTAGGAAGGGAAAGGGACCAGGGTATGAACTAACAACTGCCAAGGACTCATTATAAACTCGACACCGGGCTAGTGGTTTACACAGTGTATCTGTGAGCTACCATTTTCCTTGTTTCATAGATGAGAAAAGGAAGTAACTTCTCTAGTGTCACAGGCCAAGCAAGTGCAAGAGCTGGGGACCAAATTCACATTTGTCAGACTTCAGAGCTGCTTCCCTATGACATCCTACTATCCTGGAAGTTAAGGACAGTCATGCTGTTTTGGGAAATCTGAGGTTGACTCAATAAAATCCTTGCCTCCAACTTGCATATAGACATTTTCAAAATGAACACAGGTGTTTAGACCAGCGAGTTAAGCATGGGCAGTCTGCCTCCGTTATCGGGAGTGGAAATGCTGGCTTTGAGTCAGCCCCAGTGGGGTCAGTGAACTTTGCATGGAACCAGCTGGAGACTATTCTGAATCTGGCTGAAACCTAGAGAGAGCAGGGAAATGATTTTTTTTTAGATGGTGTTGCATTATGAAATAAAATAATTAAAACAATTAAACTGGCTCTCATATAAAAGATAGGTACTGGGAAGAAAGTAGAAATGAAACCATGGATTTTTTTTTTCTCCACTGAAAAGATGTGCTTATATATTCATTTTGGGATTACCTTGTTGCTTATAAGCAAAGATGCTCATCTTGCAGTATTTCTGCATTAACTTTTCCCTCATTAATCTTGCATTTTATAGCAATATGATATTACTTTATCTGACCTAAATCAGCCAATGCTTGTTAGTCTGTTGAAGAGCAAGAGAAATAACAACACTGAGGCTCAGCTTGTGCACCTCGTACCAGAGCTCTGCTTTCTAACAGGTAATGTTTGCGTGTCGTAATCGTCAGGCTCCTGGGCACAGGCTGTGCATACGAGGCAGCGGGCAGAAGCTCCCTGAGTTAGATGAAGGCTGGAGCATTAATTTAACCCATGGAGGATGAGCCTTTTAAGTAATTATTCAGTAGTAGAGACAAGTTGGGGGAATACAGTGCCCTTTGGAATCTGTTTCTTTATCTCGTACATTCCTTTTGTTACTTTGATGTAAAATAGGCCCTCGATAGTTTCTTAATAGTGAGCTGCTCTTTGCCATTATTTGAACTTCACTAATACAGGAAGTGATATGACTTTGATTTTCTTTGGTTATGTTGTTAGAGTGGTGCCGGCATGATCCTTATTTTCTTTTTGCGTGAGCTCCCAGAAGGTAATCCTCACCATACGGTAGAATGTGAATAACTGGCTTGAGCAGTTTTAATAATGTTCATTTGACTAACATGGTGGGTCTAGGAAGGGAGGACTTTCTATTTTTTACATTTTTATACTGCTTGAATCAGGTATGATGTGTATCTGCTTATTTTGCAATTAGAAAAATTAATAAGGATAAAATCCTTGAAGGAAGGGGTGATCGTTCTTAGTAGTATTTAGATATTGGAGGTATGCACAGCTGAATATGGCAGCCACTAGCCACGTGAGTGTGTCGAACACTTGAAATGTGACCAGCTCGACTGAAAGGCTGGGAGGAAATGTGTTGTGAGCATAGAAAACAGACCAGATTTCAAAGGCTTAGTATGAAAAAAAAAGGAAACTATCTCATCAATTTTTTTAGGTTGATTACATGTTGAAATGATAATATGTTAGATATATTGGGTTAAATAATATATACCACTTAAAATAATTTCATCTGTTTCTTTTTGGCTTTTCTTGATGCAGCTATTAGAAAATTTAAAATGCCATCTGTGGTTTTAATTTCTACTGGACAGTGCTATTCAGATGTGGCAAATCTGATTCAGTTCAAGTGGAAACGTTTAAACTGTACCTGAGATGAGCTGGGGTTGCATATGTCCATTTTTTCACTTTGTCTTCTTTTGGAATTTCGTAGGGCTGACTGACCAGGCAACCTCTGATTTTCAGCTGATGAAGGCTGTGGCTGAAGAGACACGCCTCGGTCCCTTGGGCCGGCAGCAGCGTCTGGCCAGGCTTGTTGACGACATCCAGAGGTACTGGATCACCATGCTGAGACCGCCTGCACCCTTCCCATGGCCGAGCTTGTAGAATTGGATAATCTATATGACATTTCATTCCTTGATGGAAATGTCTCATTCTTACTGATTCAGAGCAAAGAGCTTTTGAATTGTGCTGTCCAGAGCCCCGAGCTTCATCTTAGATGCATGAAGAGTATCGGGTTGAGGGGAAGTGTCGAGGGGCCATGTTGGTAGGAATACCACCTCCCTTCACCTAGACAGCCCTGCTTTCATCTGTTTCATAAATTGAGGTCTGGATACAATTTTGAATGAAGAAAAGGGTTATAATCTAAAAAGAACAATAAAAACCTCCAAACAAATGAACAAACAAACAGCAGGCCCCCAATATTCAGGATCAAGAATGTTCAGATCTTGATATAGTGGCCTCCGCAGACTGAACGTGGGGAAACCCCACTATGTATTCTTTAAACTTGAGAAACCTTGTGCCCTTTGGTTTAGTCATCTGATTCTCGGACTATGTTCCTGCCCATGTTTATGACAGTTTGCTGTAACCTGTGATGGGAAAATTGAGTTTCTCCCTTGTGACCTCCTAAACCCACACTGTCTAGTACAGCCCCACATGGCTGCTGGGCACTCAAAATGTGTCTGATGACACATCTTGAAATGATAATTTTTTAGGTTTATTGGCTTAAATAATATATATATTTTAAAATAACTTCACTTATTACTTTTTACTTTTTTAAAGGCAGCTACAAGAAAATTTAAAATTACTTATGTGGCTTATTTTATATTTCTCTTGAATTATATTGTAGAATGGTCATTTTTCTTTAAAACTTATTTTTTTAAGTACTATGAGCTCATGGGAGGAATTTGGAAATTTGCATAAGCAAAAAGAAAGAGAGAGAGAGAGTGCGTGTGTCAGTAAATACTTGATAAATGAAAGAATTACAATGGAATGAATGGTGTATATTCTTTCAGACATTTGCAAATGCATATAATACTGTTCCTTTTAGGAAAATGGCATAGTACCGTACATGTTTTGTAACTTGCATTTTTCGCTCAAAGGTTTTTCTCAAACGTTTCCATATGATGAAGGTGCATCTCTATTATCACTCTAGTGGCTTCTTCATGGATACACTTTCTGTGGTTTATTCTGGACCACGCCCAGACTTATCCTTACTTGAGAAGAGTTTCCTTGTTCATTTCCCTCATACAGGGGTATGGATTAGTCTTCCTCATGCACCTACCTGCTACCTTTCAGTATTGCCACTGACCTCACCCCGTTCCGTGACCGGTGATGGCCTCACCTATCTCATCTTGGGCTGACAGTATCTGAAGCACAATAGCTAATTCAAAGGATTTAGTGACCAGACAAGACATAACCTTAATAGATGGGAACAGTGAACTGTTGCAGAGACACAGTGGTAAAGAGGTTTGAGTTTGAGATCCCCTAAAGAATGAGGTGGAGCTTTTCTTTTTCTTTCTTTTTTTCTATGTGTATCCTATGAGTCTTCTGGAGTTTAATTCCTTATGTGCCCTTCCTTTATCATCCTCCATCCACTCTCAAGCCAACAAATTCAGATATTCCCAGAAAATATCTCCGTATCCAGCAGTTCCAAAATATCTCCTTATTAGCAAGTTTGTTATCAAGAATGATCATATCTCACATGTTTTTAGCACGTAGCCTGTGCTGGACACTGTGGTAAGCACTTTGTGTGCATTGTCATATTTAATCCTTACATCAACCCTATGAAGTAGCTACTTTTATTATCCCTACATTTTTCCAGTAAGGAAACCAAGGCATTAAAAAGATTTAATAGTTTGTTCAAGGTCACATATTATTAAATGTTAGAGCTGGGAGTTTAACCAAGGTCTGTCTGGCTTGAAGGCTCATTTTTCTAGCCGATGTGCCCCCACCGGAAGCCTTTCCCCTGCACATCCCAAATGGGCACAATTGTCCCATAATTCTTTTGAGCAGGGGAAGGAAATGGTGAGTAGAAATAGAAGTGAGGAATCCTAAAGACACAGAACATCAGCCCCTAAATAATTCAGCAAGTTATAGTTATCTCTCTGATGATTAAAATTCTTTAGGAAATGAGCACTCTAATGATTTAAAACAACTCCATCAACAGAAACAAGGATGCTCGTTTCGAGCTAGAGACCTGGGGACTGCATTTTGGAAGCCAGATGTCTCTGACTGGCCGAGTTGTGCCTTCAGAAAAAATATTAATGCAAGACCACGTAGTAAGTGCTGTGATTTTATTTTCATTTATAAATATTTACTTGAATGTGTGTAAGTTTGATCATTTGCCAGAGTGACTAGTGGCTTACAATATTTATTTGGTTTCTTCGTGGCCATGTCCTGCCCTCACTTGGTCCTAAGACTTAGTTAAAAAACCTCTGGTTTCTTTTTCAATCTGAATTTAATTGTGTGGACTTAGCGGCACCCAGCAGACACAATTTATGTTAGTTAGAAAACAGTATTTCAAACCATTGCAATTAAAACATAACCACCTTTTACTGGATATTGTACTACTCTTATGTGATTTCAAATTCAAAATTAAAAAAAAAGTCATAGTTACCCGAGAAAAGCCTGGTGAACGTTAATTCTAATAGGTTACGTTTCCTGAGACCAGAATTGGTTTATAGCTGCCATGTCAGTTGTGTCTGTTAATTTTTCAAAGTAATTCTGCTCAATTGGCATAAAAATGAAGCAGCTCACGTAGCACCTAGCCCCAGACATAGTACTTGGGGAGGGAGGCATTCTGTAACCTGAAGAGGTGAATCATTGTCACTTCTGGGCTTCAGCTGAAGAAATGAACCTATTTTATGCAACCATTATGCATTATCTTTCTACTTTTCTCCTCTGTTTTGCCCATTTTAAAAACCAGTTACATTTCATTTTATTTTTTAAAGTCCCTCTTCTTGCCTTTATATGGTATTATAAACCGACACGTCTAAACTAATGTAACTGAACAATGCACATGTCATGTTGGCAGAATGGCGATTTTTTTTATCATTTCTTTTTAATAATCTATTCAAATTACCCTTTTTGGAGAAGCTGAGGAAAAAATATTTTTCAAAACAAAACTTTGTAAAGTACTAAAATGTAGGACCCCATTAGGATCTCGGTCAGGGGTTAATAAAGAGAAGCTCAATTTCAGATCCACATATGAAGAAGGACTTAAAATACTTAAAATGATCCATCTCCTCATCTGTATAAGTAAAATCGTATTTACCAGAGCTTTTTATTTTTATTTATTTATTTGCATTTTTTTGGTGTGGAAACCAGTGTCCATAGGACAAAGGGCATCAAAACATGAGAACCCGGCCGGGCGCGGTGGCTCATGCCTGTAATCCTAGCACTCTGGGAGGCCGAGGCGGGAGGATTGCTTGAGCTCAGGAGTTTGAGACCAACCTGAGCAAGAGCGAGACCCCATCTCTACTATAAATAGAAAGAAATTAGCCAAAACAACTAAAAACAGAAAAAATTAGCTGGGCACGGTGGCGCGTGCCTGTAGTCCCAGCTACCCGGGAGGCTGAGGCAGGAGGATCTCTTGAGCCCAGGAGTTTGAGGTTGCTGTGAGCTAGGCTGATGCCATGGCACTGTAGCCCGGGCAACAGAGTGA